CCCCTCATGCCCCCCCTCCTCCCCCAGTGGCCTGTGTCTCATTAGTCTCCGGCGCTCGGCTCGAGGCTCTGAGCTCATTTCTGGGAAAAAGTTTTGGCAGTTTGTGCAGTTTGTCGAATTTTAACGAAGGCCGAAGCGAACAAAGGGCTGGCAGCGGCAGACACACGCACTCACACACACACACACACACACACAGACAGACACACACAAACACACACACAGACACACACACGCTCACACGGGGGGACTTCACTCAGGGAGTTTAGGGGGTTTTGTGCCTTCACCGTGTGCCAGGGCAGCTCAGAGTCACCGCGGGGCAGATCACATCCAGATGTGTGTGTGTGTATGCCTTTATGTGTGTGTATCTGTGTGTGTGCGTGTATATGCCTTTATGTGTGTGTATCTGTGTGTGTGTGTGTGTATGCCTTTATGTGTGTGTATCTGTGTGTGTGTGTGTATATGCCTTTATGTGTGTGTGTGTGTGTGTGTGTATATGCCTTTATGTGTGTGTATCTGTGTGTGTGTGTGTGTGTATGCCTTTATGTGTGTGTATCTGTGTGTGTGTGTGTATATGCCTTTATGTGTGTGTGTGTATATGCCTTTATGTGTGTGTATCTGCGTGTGTGTGTATGTCTTTATGTTTGTATCAGTGTGTGTGTGTGTGTGTCTGTGCACGTGTATGTATGTGTATGTATATATATATATGGATGCGCGTATGTTTGTGTCTGTATGTGTGTGTGTATGCGTCTGTGTGTGTGTGTGTGTGTGTGCATGTGTGTGTGTGCGTGTGCATGTGTGTGTGTGTGTGTGTGTGTGTGTGCATGTGTGTGTGTGCGTGTGTGTATGTGTCTGATTGCAGTCGACAGTTTCCAAAACATTCACATTCGGGAGAAAAGGGCTCATGATTCACCAAATGTGTCTTCCAGATCTCACGTCTGCACAAAGAAAACACAACACAACGCAACACAACACAACACAACACACAAAGGCGCAAGAAGACAACACAGCTTAGATTTCATTTCATGTTTTGATAAAAATGTGTTTAAATAGACTTTATGAGGCCTCACGCTGGTTCAGTCCTTGTTCAGACCCAATTCAGTCCTGGTTTAGACCCGGTTCCGTCCTGATTAAGTCCGTCCTGGTTCGGTCCCAGTTCAGTCCTAGTTCAGACCCAATTCAGTCCTGGTTCAGATCCAATTCAGTCCTGGTTTAGACCTGGTTTCGTCGTGATTAAGTCAGTCCTGGTTCAGTCCCAGTTCAGACCTAATTCCGTCCTGGTTCAAACCCAATTCAGTCCTGGTTCAGACCCGGTTCAGTCCTGGGTAAGTCTTAGTTCAGACTCAATTCAGTCCTGGTTCAGAACCGATTCAGTTCTGGTTTAGACCCGGTTCCATCCTGATTAATTCAGTCCTGGTTCAGTCCCGGTTCAGTCCCGGTTCAGTCCCGGTTCAGTCCTGGTTCAGTCCTGGTTTGGTCTCGTAAAGCGGTTGCGGCGGCTGTAGCAGTAAAACACAGATTAGCGTTGTAAAAGCGTGTTAGCGTGAGAGCTACATGAGGCTAAACGCTGAGTCAGCATAGAGCTAATTAGCCTAGCGTTAGCTGCCAACAAACCGAACAGCGGGGGCTAACGCTCGCAGCGGGGGCTCGTTACACCCAACTCGTTTGTTTTTCTCGCTGTGACTTTATAAAGATAATTGTTCTGTTTTTGTGGACGGCTTTTATTTGGGTCGCAGAGATTTGAGGAAAGTGTAAATGTTAATGAGCTAGCGGCTAACGGCTCCTGTGTGTGTTTTTGTCATTACTGCACTGACCGCGAGATAAGTCTCTGTTGGTTTGGGTCTGGATCTTTGCGACTTTGGTGAAATCCAACAAGAGGAACACCTCACATTGGCTTCCAGAGACCAGACTAGAGACCAGACCAGAGACCAGACCAGAGACCAGACCAGAGACCAGACCAGAGAGCAGACCAGAGACCAGAGCAGAGACCAGACCAGAGACCAGACCAGAGACCAGACCAGAGACCAAACCAGAGACCAGAGCAGAGAACATGTCTGGTCTGAGCCCCACAGAGGAACACTGACGCCAGTTTTAAAAGAACTAGAAAAACTGGAAATGAAAATGTGATCGAGAACATTCAAAACAAACAAGTCACTACATTACTCCTGACTTTAGATCATGTTAACTGTCGTGTTAAACTCACGGTTATGTCATGATGATCAACATGATCATTCTAAAAGGACCATGAACCCGCAATAAATCTATGGTCTCATCACTTTTTCTGTCTGGATTCCATCCATCCATCCATCCATTTTCTTCCCCTTAATCCATTTCTGGGTTGGGGGGGTGGCAGTCAGAGCTGCACCCAGTACACTTAGCACCAGCCCCTCACTGATCCTCCTGATCCACAGGAGCTGAGGTCTTTCAGCAGGGGCTTCAGGCAAAGTGGGGTTAAGTGTCTTGCCCAAGGACACAATGACAGCAGTCATCAGTGGGAGTCGTGAAGTAGGTCTGAAGGGCTCGACCTTCAGGCTCAAAGGCCAATGCTCTACCAACTGAGCTACTGTCGCCCCATCCATTTTTTTCTAATTCATCCGTTGCCGGGTTGCGGGGGCAGCAGTCTGAGCAGAGACACCCAGACTTCCCTCTCACACACTTCCGTCCTAGGGGATCCTAAGGTGTTCCCAGAGAGAGACATGTGTCCCTCCAGCCTGTCCTGAGTCTTCCCCGGGGCCCCCTCCCGGTGGGACGTGCCCGGAACACCTCCCCAGGGAGGCGTCCAGGAAACATCCTGAACAGATGCCCGAGACAACTCAACTGACTCCTCTCGACGTGGAGAAGTAGTGGCTCTACTCCGAGCTCCTCTATTTCAAAGGGAGCGCCCAGCCACTCTGCTCGGATCTGCACTCTTCTCCTTTCGGTCATTATCCAAAGCTTATGACCATAGGTGAGGGAGGGAACAAAGATTGACCGGTAAATCGAGAGCTTTGATTTCGGCTCAGCTCCCTCTTCACCACGGCGGTCCGATACAGTGACCGCATCACTGCGCACGCTGCCTCGAAGATACTTGAACTCCTCCACTTGAGGAAGGACCACACCATCCACCTGGAGAAGGCAATGTACCTTTTTCCGGTCGAGCACCATGGCCTCGGATTTGGATTGTATCTATAATATGAATACAAACTTTTTTTCTTTTGCAATACAACAAAATACATGCTGGGTGCGTGGACTGGGTCACCGAGGTCTCCGCCTTCGACTGCTACCCAGTCCTCGCTGCACCTCGCCACCACGGACCCCTCTGCAGGTGGTGGGCCCACAGGAGGGACTGCCCACGTCGACCCTTCGGGCTGAGCCCGGCCGGGCCCCGTGGGCTAAGGCCCGGCCACCAGGCGCTCGCTTGAGAGCCCCGACCCCAGGCCTGGCTCCAGGGTGGGGCCCTGGCTGCGCCATGCCGGGCGACGTCACTGTTCTAATATTAGTGCTGTCCATGGTTGGCTTCGGACTGCGCTTCTTCTGACTCGTCACTTGAGACCTGTCTGCCATGGGAGACCCTACCAGGGGCATGAAGCCCCAGACAGCATAGCTCCCAGGATCATCCGAGTGCTCAAACTCCCCCACCACGTTAAGGTGGCAGTCCAGGGAGGAGGAGAGGTCCTTCCTCAAGTGGAGGAGTTCAAGTATCTCGGGGTCTTGTTCACGAGTGAGGGAAGAATGGAGCGTGAGATTGACAGGCGGATCGGTGCAGTGTGCGCAGTGATGCGGTCGCTGTATCGGACCGTTGTGGTAAAGAGGGAGCAGCGTCTGCAGTCAGAGCTGTATCGGACCGTTGTGGTAAAGAGGGAGCTGAGCCGAAAGGCAAAGCTCTCGATTTACTGGTCAATCTTCGTTCCCTCCCTCACCTATGGTCATGAGCTTTGGGTAATGACCGAAAGAACGAGATCGCGGATACAAGCGGTCGAAATGAGCTTCCTCCGCAGAGTGGCTGGGCGCTCCCTTAGAGATAGGGTGAGGAGCTCAGTCACACGGGAGGAGCTCGGAGTAGAGCCGCTGCTTCTCCACGTCGAGAGGAACCAGTTGAGGTGGCTCGGGCATCTGTTCCGGATGCCTCCTGGACGCCTCCCTGGGGAGGTGTTCCGGGCACGTCCCACCGGGAGGAGGCCCCGGGGAAGACCCAGGACACGCTGGAGGGACTATGTCTCTCAGCTGGCCTGGGAACGCCTTGGGGTCCCCCCGGACGAGCTGGAGGAAGTGTGTGTGGATAGGGAAGTCTGGGCGTCTCTGCTTAGACTGCTGCCCCCGCGACCCGGCAACGGATAAAGCGGAAGAAAATGGATGGATGGATGGAAAATACATGCTTTTCAGCAATCATAACAGTAATAAACCGGCCAGGATTGTTGTAGTGTAAAATACTTGTGTGAGTGTTTTTGCACAGGCAGAAGACTGGACAGCTGTGAGGTCCTTCACGTGGCGTAAACAAAGATGGCGGCTCCGTGAGCTGTACTTCTGAAACTCTGAGCTCGGATTGTTTCAGTCTTTTATTAAAGTTCTACCGGAGGCTGCGGGGGTCTGCGGGAGACCACTGCCCTCTCCCCGGTGTCTGCACCTCTCTGTGGGGGAAACAGGACCGTGTGTTTACGGAGCGAGGAGTCTGCTCTCAGCCCGAGCTCTGTGGTCTCTCCCCCGGGTCTCTGGTCCTCTCTCCCCCGGGTCTCTGGTCCTCTCTCCCCCGGGTCTCTGGTCCTCTCTCCCCCGGGTCTCTGGTCCTCTCTCCCCCGGGTCCCTGGTCCTCTCTCCCCGGGTCTCTGGTCCTCTCTCCCCCGGGTCTCTGGTCCTCTCTCCCCCGGGTCTCTGGTCCTCTCTCCCCCGGGTCCCTGGTCCTCTCTCCCCGGGTCTCTGGTCCTCTCTCCCCGGGTCTCTGGTCCTCTCTCCCCCGTCCCTGGTCCTCTCTCCCCCGGGTCCCTGGTCCTCTCTCCCCCGGGTCCCTGGTCCTCTCTCCCCGCAGCATGAGCGGCTGGGCTGGGTTTTCAGACTCGGAGCTGCGGAAGTTTCAGCAGAACTCAGGTCAGAAATGTTGTGTTTACTGCGGTGTGAATACGGCTCTTAAATCCTGATTACTACAACAGAGGGAACATTATTGCCAGAAGTTTAGAAATAAATTGTTGTTATTATTAGATTCACAAAGTCGCCATATTATTCTTAACGTCTCCTTGGTCTCTCTGGTCTCTCTCTGGTCTCTCTCTGGTCTCACTCTGGTCTCACTCTGGTCTCTCTCTGGTCTCTCTCTGGTCTCTCTCTGGTCTCTCTCTGGTCTCTCTCTGGTCTCTCTCTGGTCTCACTCTGGTCTCTCTCTCTGGTCTCACTCTGGTCTCTCTCTCTGGTCTCACTCTGGTCTCTCTCTCTGGTCTCTCTCTGGTCTCTCTCTCTGGTCTCTCTCTCTGGTCTCTCTCTCTGGTCTCTCTCTCTGGTCTCTCACTCTGGTCTCTCTCTCTGGTCTCTCTCTCTGGTCTCTCTCTCTGGTCTCTCTCTCTCTGGTCTCTCTCTGGTCTCTCTCTGGTCTCTCTCTGGTCTCTCTCTGGTCTCTCTCTCTGGTCTCTCTCTCTGGTCTCTCTCTCTGGTCTCTCTCTCTGGTCTCTCTGTGGTCTCTCTCTCTGGTCTCTCTCTGGTCTCTCTCTGGTCTCACTCTGGTCTCTCTCTGGTCTCTCTCTGGTCTCTCTCTGGTCTCTCTCTGGTCTCTCTCTGGTCTCTCTCTGGTCTCTCTCTGGTCTCTCTCTGGTCTCTCTCTCTGGTCTCACTCTGGTCTCTCTCTCTGGTCTCACTCTGGTCTCTCTCTCTGGTCTCTCTCTGGTCTCTCTCTCTCTGGTCTCTCTCTGGTCTCTCTCTGGTCTCTCTCTCTCTGGTCTCTCTCTGGTCTCTCTCTCGGTCTCTCACTCTGGTCTCTCTCTCTGGTCTCTCTCTCTGGTCTCTCTCTCTGGTCTCTCTCTCTCTGGTCTCTCTCTCTGGTCTCTCTCTCTCTGGTCTCTCTCTGGTCTCTTTCTGGTCTCTCTCTCTCTGGTCTCTCTCTGGTCTCTCTCTCTGGTCTCTCTCTCTGGTCTCTCTCTCTGGTCTCTCTCTCTGGTCTCTCTGTGGTCTCTCTCTCTGGTCTCACTCTGGTCTCTCTCTCTGGGTCTCTCTCTCTGGTCTCTCTCTCTCTGGTCTCTCTCTCTGGTCTCTCTCTCTGGTCTCTCTCTCCGGTCTCTCTCTCTGGTCTCTCTCTGGTCTCTCTCTCTGGTCTCTCTCTCCGGTCTCTCTCTCTGTCTCTCTCTCTGGTCTCTCTCTGGTCTCTCTCTGGTCTCTCTCTGGTCTCTCTCTCTGGTCTCTCTCTGGTCTCTCTCCGGTCTCTCTCTCTGGTCTCTCTCTCTGGTCTCTCTCTCTGGTCTCTCTCTCTGGTCTCTCTCTGGTCTCTCTCTCTGGTCTCTCTCTGGAGTATTGTCACCACCTTGTAAGAACATAATGAGACTGTAGTTGATCTGAGAGATGTGACATTTGTGACCAGTTTTGTTTCATGTGGATTGTTCCAGAAACTTTGCTCTAAAACGACTGGAATCTGACTTTGGACACTCGCCACAGTTACCATAGTTACCATAGTTACTATAGTCACCACAGTGATCATAGTTACTATAGTCACCACAGTGATCATAGTAACCACAGTCATCGTAGTTACCATAGTCATCCCAGTCACCATAGTTACCACAGTCACTATAGTTACCATATAGTTACCGTAATTACCATAGTTACCATAGTTACCACAGTCACTATAGTTACCATATAGTTACCCCAATTACCATAGTTACCATAGTTACCACAGTCACTATAGTTACCATATAGTTACCGTAATTACCATAGTTACCATAGTTACCACAGTCACTATAGTTACCATATAGTTACCGTAATTACCATAGTTACCATAGTTACCACAGTCACTATAGTTACCATATAGTTACCGTAATTACCATAGTTACCATAGTTACCACAGTCACTATAGTTACCATATAGTTACCGTAATTACCATAGTTACCATAGTTACCACAGTCACTATAGTTACCATATAGTTACCCCAATTACCATAGTTACCATAGTTACCACAGTCACTATAGTTACCATATAGTTACCGTAATTACCATAGTTACCATAGTTACCACAGTCACTATAGTTACCATATAGTTACCGTAATTACCATAGTTACCATAGTTACCACAGTCACTATAGTTACCATATAGTTACCGTAATTACCATAGTTACCAGGGGAGATGTTTCAGCTGCCCTCCACCACAGTGTGAACTATCGCTCTTTGGAACGTGTGATGTCACATGACACACAAACCATGACATCCAAATATGTACCACTTAAAGCTTGAGCACATAACTTTAGTTTGACAGTCTGTCTTCACCGAGAACGATCCCTGTGAGTCACCATCTGACTCTTTGGGCTCTTACTTTACTTTTCTGTCTAAATATTTTGATCTAAAGATGTGAAAAAAACAGAAACACATGAAAACTAGTGAAAGAAGCAACAGTTTTGGAGCCGGGAACTCGAGACGTGGGTTTATCACAGAGTTCTATGGTTCTGGTCTGAAAGTTACAGACCCCAGCTTTAAGTCTCTTTCTCTCACTGGTACCTCTTGTGTTTCTCCTCAGACTCGGTGGTTCCGGTCTCTTTGGGTCGAGGACGTAAACCTGTGACCCGGAGCAGGCAGCAGCTCCAGCGCGAACAGGCCCTGGCTCAGTCCAAGTCCGGGTCTGGGTCCGGGTCTGGATCTGGTCCTTTGCCTTCAGACCAGCAGCTCAGTGTGGCAGCGGGAAAAACACAAACCAGAACTCAACACAGAGCAGAGACCAGGACTGAGACCAGGACTGAGACCAGGCCAGGGACCAGAACGGGTACTAAACCTGAGGCCAGACCAGACCCCAGACCAGAGCCCAGACCAGGGACTGAACCAGAGACCAGAGCTGAGACGAATGGAGCAGAGAACATGTCTGGTCTGAAGAACCCCGCGGAGGAACCTGAGACGACGCCGGTTTTGAAAGAACTGGAGAAACAGGAAGTGGAAGTGTGAGTTTCAGCCTCTGGGTTTGGACTAAAACACGATCAGGACCAAAGATCATAGAACCAGAGCGTCTGTGAAAATGTGACTTAGTTTGAGTTTATGTTGAAGATTTGGATCTTCTCTGCTCTCTCTCTCTGATCTCTGTCGCTCTCTGGTCTCTCTCTCTGGTCTCTCTCTCTGGTCTCTCTCTCTCTGGTCTCTCTCTCTCTCTGGTCTCTCTCGCTCTCTGGTCTCTCGCCGGTCTCTCTCTCTCTCTCCGGTCTCTCTCTCTCTGGTCTCTCTCTCCGGTCTCTTGCTCTCTGCTCTCTCTCTCTCTGCTCTCTCTCTCTAGTCTCTCTGGTCTCTCTCTCTCTCTCTGGTCTCTCTCTCCGGTCTCTCTCTCTGGTCTCTCTCTCTGGTCTCTCTCTCTCTGGTCTCTCTCTTCGGTCTCTCTCTCTCTCCGGTCTCTCTCTCTCCGGTCTCTCTGGTCTCTCTCTCTGGTCTCTCTCTCTGGTCTCTCTCTGGTCTCTCTCTCTGGTCTCTCTCTCTCTCTCTGGTCTCTCTCTCCGGTCTCTCTCTCTCCGGTCTCTGGTCTCTCTCTCTAGTCTCTCTGGTCTCTGGTCTCTCTCTCTCTCTCTGGTCTCTCTCTCTGGTCTCTCTCTCTCTGACTGTACGGTGTGTGTTTCAGCCGTGAGCGCAGTCGTCTGGAGCAGCTGCAGATGGAACAGAAGGAGATGGAGGAGAAGAACAAGAGGAAGAAGGCTCTGCTCACTAGGACCATCGCCCAGAAGTACGTAACAGACACCATCAAAGCAAAATGGTTCCTGTTCCGCTGCTCGCATGAGGCTCAGGGAAAGAAGGGCTGCAACTACCAACTTTTATGATAGTCTAGTATAATTTTGTTCTTAAATTTAGCGTAAAGGTTTCTGTAATTATGTGATGAATGATAAACACAGGAGAGATGGGTTCTTTGCTGCTGGTTCATACAAAAAGTAAATAAAATGTCCTGTCTAAGAGCTCGGTCCGGACCTACAAACATCACTTTAAAAACAAAATGTATTTGCTTGAATGTTACTTTAATCTTACCGAGCCGAGTCAGACTTGTTTCGTTCAAATGCCCGACATGCTTTCTCTTCAAATGTTTGTGCGTCACCGAGGAGCCGCCGTGAGGAGCCGCCGTGAGGAGCCGCCGTGATTCGCACGATCTGCTCTGCAAACCTCTCAAGTCATCTTTTTATCTTCCGTATTCAGACACTTCTGAGCTGATGGACGCCGCCATTTCTGTTTACGTTTCCGCTCGACATAGACGCTCTTGCACATGTGCGACTCTCGGCAGAGATTGTGAGATGGGAGATGCCTCACTCTGTTGGAAAAACACGTCTGACGACAACAGTCGACAATGGAATTCATTTAGACTATCTCTATCATATGTTGCAGCCCTAGCAAGAAGGTTCTACAACTACTCCCAAGTCTCACCAGTGACACTTTCTCTCCTGGTCTCTGCTGGTCTCCGCATGGCTTGTCCTCTCTCCTGGTCTTTCCTGGTCTTTCCTGGTCTCTTCTGGTCTTTCCTGGTCTCTCCTGGTCTCTCCTGGTCTCTTCTGGTCTCTCCTGGTCTCTCCTGGTCTCTCCTGGTCTCTTCTGGTCTCTCCTGGTCTCTCCTGGTCTCTCCTGGTCTCTTCGGGTCTGTCCTGGTCTCTCCTGGTCTCTCCTGGTCTCTTCTGGTCTTTCCTGGTCTCTCCTGGTCTCTCCTGGTCTCTCCTGGTCTCTTCTGGTCTTTCCTGGTCTCTCCTGGTCTCTCCTGGTCTCTCCTGGTCTCTTCTGGTCTCTCCTGGTCTCTCCTGGTCTCTCCTGGTCTCTCCTGGTTTCTTCTGGTCTCTTTGGGTCTGTCCTGGTCTCTCCTGGTCTCGCCTGGTCTCTTCTGGTCTCTCCTGGTCTCTTCTGGTCTCTCCTGGTCTCTCCTGGTCTCTCCTGGTCTTCTCAGGTCCAAACAGACTCGTGCTGAGTCGCTGAAGCTGCAGAAGATCCAGAAGGAGCTGCAGACTCTGGACGACATGGTTTCAAACGACATCAGTATCTTAAGAGGAAGGATCGAGCAGGCGAGCTGGGACTACAGCTGTGCCAGGTACTGCTGCTGCTACTGCTACTGCTACTGCTGCTGCTACTGCTGCTGCTACTGCTGCTGCTACTGCTGCTGCTACTGCTACTACTGCTGCTACTGCTACTGCTGCTGCTACTGCTACTACTGCTGCTACTGCTACTACTGCTGCTACTGCTACTGCTACTGCTACTGCTGCTGCTACTGCTGCTGCTACTGCTACTACTGCTGCTACTGCTACTACTGCTGCTACTGCTGCTACTACTGCTGCTGCTGCTACTGCTGCTGCTACTGCTACTACTGCTGCTACTGCTACTGCTACTACTGCTGCTACTGCTACTGCTGCTGCTACTGCTACTACTGCTGCTACTGCTACTACTGCTGCTACTGCTGCTACTACTGCTGCTGCTGCTACTGCTGCTGCTACTGCTACTACTGCTGCTACTGCTACTGCTACTACTGCTGCTACTGCTACTGCTGCTGCTACTGCTACTACTGCTGCTACTGCTACTGCTGCTGCTACTGCTACTACTGCTGCTACTGCTACTGCTGCTGCTACTGCTGCTACTACTGCTGCTGCTACTGCTACTACTGCTGCTACTACTGCTGCTGCTACTGCTACTGCTGCTGCTGCTACTGCTGCTGCTACTGCTACTGCTACTACTGCTGCTGCTACTGCTACTGCTACTGTTACTGCTGCTGCTACTGCTACTGCTACTGCTGCTGCTACTGCTACTGCTACTGCTACTGCTGCTGCTGCTGCTACTGCTGCTGCAGCTGCTGCTACTGCTACTGCTGCTGCTACTGCTACTGCTGCTGCTACTGCTACTGCTACTACTGCTACTGCTACTACTGCTGATGCTACTGATGCTACTGCTACTGCTGCTGCTACTGCTACTGCTACTACTGCTACTGCTACTACTGCTGCTGCTACTGATGCTACTGATGCTACTGCTGACTCCTGCTGACTCCTCCTATTGACTCCTGCTGACTCCTCCTATTGACTCCTACTGACTCCTCCTATTGACTCCTACTGACTCCTGCTGACTCTTGCTGACTGCTACTGACTCCTACTGACTCCTCCTATAGACTCCTACTGACTCCTGCTGACTCTTGCTGACTCCTGCTGACTCTTGCTGACTCCTACTGACTCCTGCTGACTCCTGCTGACTCTTGCTGACTCCTCCTATAGACTCCTACTGACTCCTGCTGACTCCTGCTGACTCCTGCTGACTCCTGCTGACTCTTGCTGACTCCTACTGACTCCTGCTGACTCTTGCTGACTCTTGCTGACTCCTACCGACTCCTGCTGACTCCTGCTGACTCTTGCTGACTCTTGCTGACTCTTGCTGACTCCTACTGACTTCTACTGACTCCTGCTGACTCTTGCTGACTCCTGCTGACTCCTGCTGACTCTTGCTGACTCTTGCTGACTCTTGCTGACTCTTGCTGACTCCTGCTGCCTCTTGCTGACTCCTATTGACTCCTACTGACTCCTGCTGACTCCTGCTGACTCTTGCTGACTCTTGCTGACTCCTACTGACTTCTACTGACTCCTGCTGACTCTTGCTGACTCCTGCTGACTCCTGCTGACTCTTGCTGACTCCTACTGACTCCTCCTACTGACTCCTACTGACTCCTATTGACTCCTACTGACTCCTGCTGACTCCTGCTGACTCTTGCTGACTCTTGCTGACTCCTACTGACTTCTACTGACTCCTGCTGACTCTTGCTGACTCCTGCTGACTCCTGCTGACTCTTGCTGACTCCTACTGACTCCTCCTACTGACTCCTACTGACTCCTGCTGACTCTTGCTGACTCCTACTGACTCCTACTGACTCCTACTGACTCTTGCTGACTCCTGCTGACTCTTGCTGACTCCTGCTGACTCTTGCTGACTCTTGCTGACTCCTACTGACTCCTACTGACTCCTGCTGACTCCTGCTGACTCTTGCTGACTCTTGCTGACTCTTGCTGACTCCTACTGACTTCTACTGACTCCTGCTGACTCTTGCTGACTCCTGCTGACTCCTGCTGACTCTTGCTGACTCTTGCTGACTCTTGCTGACTCTTGCTGACTCCTGCTGCCTCTTGCTGACTCCTATTGACTCCTACTGACTCCTGCTGACTCTTGCTGACTCTTGCTGACTCCTACTGACTTCTACTGACTCCTGCTGACTCTTGCTGACTCCTGCTGACTCCTGCTGACTCTTGCTGACTCCTACTGACTCCTCCTACTGACTCCTACTGACTCCTGCTGACTCTTGCTGACTCCTACTGACTCCTACTGACTCCTACTGACTCCTACTGACTCTTGCTGACTCTTGCTGACTCCTGCTGACTCCTGCTGACTCCTGCTGACTCTTGCTGACTCCTGCTGACTCTTGCTGACTCTTGCTGACTCCTACTGACTCCTGCTGACTCCTCCTATTGACTCCTACTGACTCCTGCTGACTCCTCCTATTGACTCCTACTGACTCCTGCTGACTCCTCCTGCTGACTCCTGCTGACTCCTTCTATTGACTCCTACTGACTCCTGCTGACTCCTCCTATTGACTCCTGCTGACTCCTGCTGTGGTCTCCTTCAGGAAGCGTTATGAAAAAGCAGAGAGTGAGTTTGTGACGTCCAAACTGGAGCTGCACAAGAAGACGGAGGTGAAGGAGCAGCTCACGGAGCATCTCTGCGCCATCATCCAGCAGAACGAGCTCCGCAAGGCCCTCAAGCTGGAGGAGCTGATGTCCCGGCTGGAGATGACCACGCAGGAGGAGCAGGAGGCGCAGGAGGAGCAGGAGAGGGAGGAGAAGGAGGAGAAGGAGAGGGAGGAGAAGGAGGCCACAGAGGAGCCAGGACCAGGAGGCCAGGACCAGAACCAGCTCCACAAGGCTCAGGAGGAGGAGGAGGTGAGCAGGCTGGAGAGGACCACACAGGAGGAGGAGGAGGTGGGACCAGGAGATCAGGAGGAGCCCAAAGAGGAGGCAGATCCAGGAGGCCAGGAGCAAACGCAGGAGGTGAACGTAACGAGCCAGGCCTCCTCAGATCCAGACCCTCAGTCCTGAGCTCCAGTCCAGGATCAGGAGAGAACTTTATAACGGTCGACCCACCGCTCTGAGCTCCATCTGGGTGGGCACATGTCTGTATAGAGCTCTGAGTGCAGACGCTGCTCCCTCCCATACAGCGACCGTCTGAAGGTTCAGCATCTCCTGGAGTTGGCTTCAGTTTGGGACACGTTCTTCATCAGATTGAGAAGCAAATGTCTCTAAGATAAAAACTGGCTCCATCTGGAGACAAAGCCTTGGATAGCAACAGCATGGCAACCAAAGAGCCAATCAGGAACGAGCTGGAGCTGAGTTCAGGGACATGCTCCTGATAGGTCAGCAGGGATTAGAGGGTTTTGTGTTTAGAGATTATATTTTTACAGTTTTCTTTTTGTGGGAATTATAAATATTTAACTTTATTAAAATATTGAACTGTAGAACTGAGTTTGACTCATTTGTTCTGGAGGAAATCTCTCCTCGAAGACACTGGGGCTGCAAAAAGAAGGTTTGATCAATACATATCAGTACATAAACACATAATTATGTTTATGTACTTATTTGTATTTATATATACAGTGGGGCAAAGAAGTATTTAGTCAGCCACCGATTGTACAGAGGTCTGTAATTTTCATCATAGGTACACTTCAACTGTGAGAGACAGAATGTGAAAAAAAAATCTTTGTAGGATTTTTAAAGAATTTATTTGTAAATCATGGTGGAAAATAAGTATTTGGTCAATAACAAAAATTCAACTCAATACTTTGTAATATAACCTTTGTTGGCAATAACAGAGGTCGAACGATTACTATAGGTCTTTACCAGGTTTGCACACACAGTAGCTGGTATTTTGGCCCATTCCTCCATGCAGAGAGAGCAGTGAACACGGACTTTCAACTCCCTCCACAGATTTTCAATGGGGTTGAGGTCTGGAGACTGGCGAGGCCACTCCAGGACTTTCAAATGCTTCTTACGGAGCCACTCCTTCGTTGCTCGGGCGGTGTGTTTGGGATCATTGTCCCAAACACGTTTCATCTTCACTTCACTTCCACTGATGGAAGGAGGTTTTGGCTCAAAATCTCACGATACATGGCTCCATTCATTCTTTCCTCAACACGGATCAGTCGTCCTGTAAGTAAGTAAGTAAGTAAGTTTTTTATTTATATACCGCCTTTTCACTGCAGATCTGAGTCTCAAAGCGGTTTACAATTGTTAATTATGGGCATTAGTCTCTCACTCCACACAGAGATGGGAGGGGCCAGTACAGGAGGCACATGCCAGAACTATTGTACATATTTTTAGCGGTAGGGGAAACCGGAGTACCCGGAGGAAACCTACGCAGACACGGGGAGAACATACAAACTCCACTCAGAAAGGCCCTGGTCCGACCGGGATTCGAACCCAGGACCTTCTTGCTGAGAGGCGAGAGTGCTATCCACTCAGCCACCGTGCCGTCCTGTCCCCTTAGCAGAAAAACAGCCCCAAAGCATGACGTTTCCACCCCCATGCTTCACTGTAGGTATGGTGTTCTTGGGATGCAACTCAGTATTCTTCTTCTTCCAAACACGACGAGTTGAGTTTATACCAAACAGTTGTACTTTGGTTTCATCTGACCACATGACATTCTCCCAATCCTCTGCTGTATCATCCATGTGTTCTCTGGCAAACTTCAGACGGGCCTGGACATGCACTGGCTTCAGCAGGGGGACACGTCTGGCACTGCAGGGTTTGATTCCCTGTCGTCGTGTTACTGATGGTAACCTTTGTTACTTTGGTCCCAGCTCTCTGCAGGTCATTCACCAGGTCCCCCCGTGTGGTTCTGGGATATTTGATCGCCGTTCTCATGATCATTTTGACCCCACGGGATGAGATCTTGTGTGGAGCCCCAGATTGAGGGAGATTATCAGTGGTCTTGTATGTCTTCCATTTTCTGATAATTGCATCCACAGTTGATTTGTTCACACCAAGCTGTTTGCCTATTGTAGATTCACTCTTCCCAGTCTGGTGCAGGTCTACAATTCTTTTCCTGGTGTCCTTCGACAGCTCTTTGGTCTTGGCCATAGTGGAGTTTGGAGTCTGACTGTTTGAGGCTGTGGACAGGTGTCTTTTATACAGATGAGTTCAAACAGGATCCATTAATACAGGTAACGAGTGGAGGACAGAAGAGCTTCTTAAAGAAGAAGTTACAGGTCTGTGAGAGCCAGAGATCTTCCTTGTTTGAAGTGACCAAATACTTATTTTCCACCATAATTTACAAATAAACAATTGTGAATTCCTCCTTTTTTTTCCAATTCTGTCTCTCACAGTTGAAGTGTACCGTTGATGAACATTACAGACCTCTGTCATTATTTTAAGTGGGAGAACTTGCACAATCGGTGGCTGACTAAATACTTTTTTTGCCCCACTGTATTAGAGGCAGAGTGGGTTAAGTGTCTTGCCCCCGGACACAACAACAGCAGACAGTGGGAGTCTGGAGTCTCGCGGTGGGATCGAAGGCTTCTGCTCTACACACTGAGCCACTGTGGCAAAAGCTGAATGAGAAAATCGATTCTGTTCAGTATCGCGATATTTTACACACAATTAAATCGTTAAAGTGAAGAAAAGTATTGTGATATTCTATTAAATAATTATCTGTTCTACTTTTGTGTTTGAGGTTTATGTGACTCTATGATGTCTGTTGTGACTCTATGATGTCTGTTGTGACTCTATGACGTCTGTTGTGACTCTATGACGTCTGTTGTGACTCTATGACGTCTGTTGTGACTCTATGACGTCTGTTGTGACTCTATGACGTCTGTTGTGACTATGACGTCTGTTGTGACTATGATGTCTGTTGTGACTCTATGATGTCTGTTGTGACTCTATGACGTCTGTTGTGACTCTATGACGTCTGTTGTGACTCTATGACGTCTGTTGTGACTCTATGACGTCTGTTGTGACTCTATGACGTCTGTTGTGACTCTATGACGTCTGTTGTGACTATGATGTCTGTTGTGACTCTATGATGTCTGTTGTGACTCTATGATGTCTGTCGTGACTCTATGACGTCTGTTGTGACACTATGATGTCTGTTGTGACTATGATGTCTGTCGTGACTCTATGACGTCTGTTGTGACACTATGATGTCTGTTGTGACTATGATGTCTGTTGTGACTCTATGATGTCTGTTGTGACTATGACGTCTGTCGTGACTCTATGACGTCTGTTGTGACTCTATGATGTCTGTTGTGACACTATGATGTCTGTTGTGACTATGACGTCTGTCGTGACTCTATGACGTCTGTTGTGACTCTGATGTCTGTCGTGACTCTATGACGTCTGTCGTGACTTTATGATGTCTGTTGTGACTCTATGATGTCTGTCGTGACTCTATGATGTCTGTCGTGACTCTATTATGTCTGTTGTGACTCTATGACGTCTGTCGTGACTCTATGATGTCTGTCGTGACTCTATGATGTCTGTTGTGACTGACGTCTGTTGTGACTCTATGATGTCTGTCGTGACTCTGATGTCTGTCGTGACTCTATGATGTCTGTCGTGACTCTATGATGTCTGTCGTGACTCTATGATGTCTGTCGTGACTATGACGTCTGTCGTGACTCTATGACGTCTGTTGTGACTCTATGATGTCTGTTGTGACTCTATGACGTCTGTTGTGACTATGACATCTGTTGTGACTCTATGATGTCTGTTGTGACTATGACGTCTGTTGTGACTCTATGTCTGTCGTGACTCTATGACGTCTGTCGTGACTCTATGACGTCTGTTGTGACTCTATGATGTCTGTTGTGACTATGACGTCTGTTGTGACTCTGTGATGTCTGTCGTGACTATGACGTCTGTGGTGATTCTATGACGTCTGTTGTGACTCTATGATGTCTGTTGTGACTCTATGATGTCTGTTGTGGCTCTATGATGTCTGTTGTGACTCTATGATGAGCGTAGTTTGATTGTGATGCGTTTGGACAGAAGGGGCGGAGGGAGAACATGCATCAGTCGCAGAAAGCTCTCTAACATTTGGCCTCTGAAACTGCGGTCTTTTCCCGGAGGTGAAACCGGAGCTGGACTCAGTGGGACCTGTCAAGACCGGACCCAGACCCGGTCTCAGACCCGGATCAGGTCACATGACACCGAGGCTCTGATCCCGACCAGACCATGCATCAAAGTCCAAGTCCCAAAGTCCTGAGTGAAACCAGATGTGGTTTAATGAGAGCTGGGCCGGCTCCTGGAGACCAGGACTGAGACCAGAACCAAGACTGCCTTCAGACCAGGACTGAGACCAGAACTGAGACTGCCTTCAGACCAGGACTGAGACCAGAACTGAGACCAGAACTGAGACTACCTTCAGACCAGGACTGAGACCAGAACTGAGACCAGAACTTAGATCGCCTTCAGACCAGGAAAGAGACCTTCTTTTGTCCTGCTTTAGTCCTGTTTTAGTCCTGGTTTAGTCCTGCTCTAGTCCTGGTTTAGTCCTGCTTTGGTCCTGGTTTAGTCCTGCTTTGGTCCTGGTTTAGTCCTGGTTTAGTCCTGCTCTAGTCCTGCTCTAGTCCTGCTCTAGTCCTGCTCTAGTCCTGGTTTAGTCCTGCTTTGGTCCTGGTTTAGTCCTGCTCTAGTCCTGCTCTAGTCCTGGTTTAGTCCTGCTCTAGTCCTGGTTTAGTCCTGCTTTGGTCCAGGTTAAGTCCTGCGTTAGTCCTGGTTTAGTCCTGCTCTAGTCCTGGTTTAGTCCTGCTTTGGTCCAGGTTAAGTCCTGCTCTAGTCCTGGTTTAGTCCAGCTCTAGTCCTGGTTTAGTCCTGCTCTAGTCCTGGTTTAGTCCTGCGTTAGTCCTCTTCACTTCACTGTTTACAGACTTTTTGCTCTGATCGAGGAAGTATCGACAAAATAAATACTTTGATGTGACTGTTGAACAAACACATCAGAGCCGGGCCTGTGGCTGTGAGCGAGATATAACTGATCATTCTAAAATGCTAACGCTAACCATAATAATGAGTATAATAAAATAACATGTGTACAGGGGAACCTCAGGGGTCGGTGCTGGGACCACATCATTCACTGTTTACAGACATGAAATATGAAAACATCTAATATGACTAACTGTGGAAAGAAGCTTCAAAACCAGATCTGTAAAAAAGACCACTCTCCTGCAGCAGTTTTATCCTGACAGAGTGTGACATCACCATAATGTGGAAGAAGCCAATCGGAACATAAGCTGCAGCAAAGTTCCTGACGAGGGCTTTAGTTCTGGTTCACGCCTTGACAGGGCTAGACTTCCCCCGCTGTGAATGAAGGCATCTGATTGGTCGATCCTTGTAAGATAAGATAAGCTGCATTGATCTCACACTGGAGGAGTTTACACCAGGATTTAAGTTACTGAGCGAGAGGAGTAAGTCATCGGTGCCAGAGCGAGTTGGAGAAAAAACTTCGTCTATGAGCACCTCCCTATTGGACATTAGCATGATGCTAGCAGTTTAGCATTGTTATCACAGATGAAAGCACTTAACCTCACATAAGTTACTTCATTTCTATGACTTGTTTGTTTTTGTTTACGGGGCTTCAGGCTCCGCGCGCTGTGCCACGTAATTACCCTCGTACACGCGCTCGCTCTCTCTCTCTCTCTCTGCGCGTGCACGAGAGGGGCGTGTGCGCGAGGGCGTGTCCCGAGCGCGCGTCTCTCAGAGCCTGTTGCGCCTGGACTCAGACTCACAGCCGCATCTTTGGATCTCGACCTGGACTCTCCTCCGGACCGGGAACTTGGACCAAAGTCTGGACCTGAACCTGGACCAAAATCTGGTCCAAAGTCTGGACCAAAGTCTGGACTGAAGTTACATCTGGAGTAAAGTCTAAAGTCTTTTCGTGTTCTCAGACCTGTCCCATTTCACACCGCGTCTGATGGAAGAACGGGATATGACCGGGAGACGCGTGTGCGCACGGGTCTAAGCGCACGGGACCCGCGGGTCACTGCTGGAGGCTACAGGGTGTTGGTTCGCTTCTGATTCGCTTCTGATTCGCTTCTGATTCGCTTCTGATTCGCTTCTGGTTCGCTCCTGGTTCGCTTCTGGTTCGCTTCTGGTTCGCTCCTGGTTCGCTTCTGGTTCGCTCCTGGTTCGCTCCTGATTCGCTCCTGGTCCGCAGCTGCTCCGCTCCTGCCCGCGGTGTTCCGCTCCATGCCGCAGCGCGTCTCTCTCTGACTGCGCACTCCTCTTCGCGGTCATGAGTTTCGTGTTGGACCGTGGTGTGGACCTCCAGAACCGCGGCGTGGACCTCCAGAACAAGAAGAACTTCAGCGTGAGCCACCTCCTGGACCTGGAGGAGGTGGAGGGCGTCGCAGGGTCAGCGCAGGCCGAAGAGGGAGGCTCAGAGGCGGGGAGAGCCATGCACGAGTCCCCGGGCCTGAGCAGCGGCAGCGACACGGCCCAACACGACAGTAAGAACCGGAACACTTTATTATCATGGAGTCAGTGGTTCCGAAAGGTCCAGAGGAACAAACTCTTCCTCTTTCTTTGTTTGAAGTCGTTTTGTTTAAAAGTAACTAGCATAGAATACTCCGATCAGAAGTCTCCATCCCCCAGGGCTCAGACTTTAACATCTGTGGCTCTCTCTTCTCTCTCTTTGATCTCTCTCTCTCTCTCTCTGGACTCTCCCACTGTTCTCTCACCTCTCACGGGTCTCTCTCTCTCTCTGGTTTCTCTTTGATCTCTGCTCTCTCTCTCACTCTCTCTCTGGACTCTCTCACTGTTCTCTAACGGGTCTCTCCCTCTCTCTCTCTCTCTGCTCTCCCTCTCTTTCGTCTCTCTCTCTGCTCTCTCTCTCTCTCTCTCTGGTCTCATTCTTCTTGATTAAAAACCCTCATAGTTCCCGTAAGTTCCTGGGCTGCCTTGCATGAGTCTGTGGCTCAGTGAACTCTCAGTCTCTTTTTAAACACAACAATCCACAAAAAATAACGTGTTGTATTTATATCGATAAAGTTTATATTAATGACTCTAAACCAAACAAACTAAAGTTGTTCGTTTCAGTTCTGGACCAATGTTTGTTATTGATGCATCTCTTTAGTTTGTGTCTGATTTTCTGATCTGCTGTTTACACACAGATTACACGGACACAAAGATTACACACACACAAAGATTACACACACACAGATTACACACACACACAAAGATTACACACACACAGATTACACGGACACAAAGATTACACACACACAGATTACACACACACAAATATTATACACACACAAAGATTACACACACACAAAGATTACACACACACAGATTACACACACACAAATATTACACACACACAAATATTACACACACACAGATTACACACACATAAATATTACACACACACAAAGATTACACGCACACAAATATTACACACACACAAAGATTACACACACACACAAAGATTACACACACACAAATATTACACAAACACAGATTACACACACACAAATATTTCACACACACACAGATTACACACACACAAATATTACACACACACAAAGATTACACACACACAGATTACACACACATAAATATTACACACACACAAAGATTACACGCACACAAATATTCCACACACACAAAGATTACACACACACACAAAGATTACACACACACAAATATTACACACACACAAATATTACACACACACACAGATTACACACACACAAATATTACACACACACAAAGATTACACACACACAGATTACACACACACAAATATTACACACACACACAGATTACACACACACAAAGATTACACACACACGAAGATTACACACACACAAAGATTACACACACACAAAGATTACACACATGCACACAAAGATTATAAACACACAAAGATTACACACACACAAAGATTACACACACACACAAAGATTACACACACACACAGATTACACACACACAGATTGCACACACACACAGATTACACACACACACACACACAGATTACACAAACACACACAGATTACACACACACAAAGATTACACACACACACAGATTACACACACACAAATATTACACACACACACAGATTACACACACACAAAGATTACACACACACAAAGATTACACACATGCACAGATTACACACACACACACACACACAGAGATTACACAAACACACACAGATTACACACACACACAGATGAAAATACTGTTATTATTTTAAATGTCAGAAGAAAGAAAAGTGTGGTTGTGGATCCTTCTTAAGTTCCGACGCAGCTGAGGCCTCCCGCAGAGACACGGACTGGGTTCTGCGTAAATCAGTCTGAGGACCAGTCTACTGCGGCTCCTGCACGTCACACGCACGCGCTTTAGTCCTGGTCCAGAGAAATGTGTTTAATGTTGAGTGTGAAAGACACGGAGCCCAAGGAAACTCAAACATGCATCAAGTCCTGACAGACCAGGGACCCGGTACTGGACCAGAGACCGCGGGGACCAGGGACCCACTGGACCAGAGAGACCGAGTTCAGGACCAGAGACCGCAATGCAGGGACCCGGGTTCAGGACCAAAGAGACCGCGGGGACCAGGGGCCCGGAACTGGACCTGAGAGATCGCGGGGACCAGGGACCCGGGTTCAGGACTAGAGACCGAGAGGATGGACTGGGTGTGGATGTGAGCGTGTGCGCGTGTGTGATGGCGCGTGGGTCTTTAATCCGTAAACGTCTGCTCAGCGTCACTCTGTCCGACGTGTGTTTGTGCCTTTGAGCAACGCACCAAATACTACCACCAGCAGCAGCAGCAGCAGCAGCAGCAGCAGCAGCAGAAGAACATTGTGTTTCTCAGATTCCAGGACCTCATAAACATGACAGATCACTTTAAACCCAGACCAGAACTCACGCATGCACGTACACGCACGCACACTCGCGCACTTACACCATACATGCACGAGCACACACCTCCGCTCTGTTTGTTGAATAAATAAACTTTATCTCCGCTGTTTGTTTTCAGGAGAAAGAGCGCGAGACTTTGTCAAATTATCACCAACGAGTTTATTTGTTTAGCACAATTATGCCCATATATATATATATATATATATATATTAGGCCTTTTTTGATCTGATTTGAATATTCAGAGGAGACCAGGACCAGACTCAGACTGAGACTATATGGCTAGACCAGTTCCTTGGACCAACATGTTTAGTCTTTTGAGTGATTTTTTTGTCTGAAATCACTGATTTTCTTAAGTTTCGTCTTTAATCACGCAGGACTTTGACCTGAGGCCGCGCGTCTTGTTGCATTTCGCACGCGCGTCATAAATCAGAGTTTAATGCGTTTGACCCTCGCGCGGTTCAAGTTTCTGAAAAAGAGAAATGTGTTTTTACTGCGGGAGAGACGCGTGTGTTTATCTGAGGATTTATGATGACGAGCTTTAATTAGGCTCTAATGAGCGAGATCAAAGAGGCCGCGGCTCGGGCCTCAACAGGCACGTAATGGCACGAAATGGCACGTAATATTGTGAATACTAAACAAATTTGAGCGTTTGTTCATGTTTGTCCTGTCTGTTCAATAAAGTTTAATTTAAAAATGTATAATAATATTTTCACAGAATTTTAACAGAATGTAAGTCATTAGTGTTGGTCTGTTAAAGATGAACAGAATTGAAATATTTATTTTTAGTCTTTTAACAGTATATTTCAACAGTCTATAAATGTGTGTGAGACTTCTGTCGCGTCCTAAAGTCTGTTTTGTGTTTAAATAATGTTTTATGAAAACTCTCAGACTCTCATAAATCTGTATCTATTCTATATTTTATTTTAACATAATATAATGTTCATAACATTATTTGATTTATTTGCATATTGCCCAAAATCACTGTCGTCTCTGAGGACTTTAAAGTTGACAATTCCTCAAAAACAGATCAGAGAATCACACACACACACACACACACACACACACACACACACACACACACACACACACACACACACACACACACACACACACACACACACACACACACACACACACACACACACACACACACACACAACATTTTAAACATTTACAGCCACAAACACTTTTCTGACTGTTGCTCTGAGCCGAAGTCTGTGACTTCTTACGTGGCAATAAAAATGATTCTGATTCTGATTCTGACATGGAGCGGGAAAACCATGCACCGTCCGAACGTAAATAAACGTAAATAAATAAATGTCTCAGTCCTCGGAGCCTCCTGCGTCAGGGACCAGAGGCGCGCACGGACTGGACCCGCGCGCACGGACTGCAGTGATCAGGAGAGACAGGGCCAGGGCCAAGAGTTCAAGTATTTTGACAATTTGATTTATTCATGAGTTTATTTTATTTTCTATAGGTGTTGATTCAGCCTCAGAGGAACCAGAGGAGACTGAGGGAAACAGTCAATGTAATTCAACTTCTATATTTTTGAACAGATGCCATGTTGTTTCATCTTTATAATGAAGTATAACAGGTATAACTCAAGGTCCATACCTTGACTCAAGGTCCATGTATGGACCTTGAGTTATGGACCGGAATAAAGATTATATATACAGTCCATTAACCCGCAGTGAGGACAGTGGAGAGGCCCCTGCATCGGTCCCGGTCCGGCCCCTGGGCCTGAGTTGGACCTGTCTGCTCCACAGCTGCAGACGCGTGTTTGTGGGAAATCCATTAAAACTAATTATTATAAAAGTCGTTAATGTCACGTGACGTTTTAGTTCCGTTAACGTCAGAAACAAAACAATTATCTTTAAAGTGTGACGCTCTCCTCGCGCTCAGCATGCAGCGGGAGCACGCGCGCAGATTATTATTATTATTACTATTATTATTATTATTATTATTATCATTATTATGGTTTTAGCGAGAGATGAGACATTATTTAAAGTCAAGAGTCTCAGAGGCAAAGCTTCAAAGTCAATGTCAGATTTATTTGTTGAACTCATTTACAACAAAGAGCTTCAGGATAAAACACATACACACACACGCACACACACACACACGCACACACACATACACCCACAGACGCACACGCACGCACACACGCACGCACGCACGTAATATTTTATTTTAAAAGCCACTTTGTAAAAATGTACAGTTGGAGATGTATTAATGAATTGCCGGAGAGACATCACTATGGTAAAGCACATGCGCACTAATAGTTTTGACCACTTTTACCTTATTTTCTTTACTCATCTGTTGTGTTGTTTTTGTTATTTGTGTTTTTATAAATGTGATTTTATGAATATTGTTGTGTAGATGCCAAGTTTCTCCTTTTAACTGCACCTTGAACCTGGAAAACCCTAAAAGTCCCATACATTATTTTTATTATTATTGTTATTGTTTTATTATTATTATTATTATTATTATTATTATTATTATTATTATTGTTATTGTTATTGTTATTATT